GTGAACCAATGAAGAAACTGGTGCATGTAAGTTAGAAATAACCATTCTCAGAAGGATGCATCTGGATGGCTTTGCGTGGGACACGTGATATGCTTTATTTGAGCATATTAGAGAGATTTTTGCGCGTTGTTTTGCGGATAGAATAATGGGTTCGCGTTTACTTGAGAGCCGTCACTGCTCTACCTATTTTCTGGACGTTATTCGGTTCGTCAAATGCATAAGTAAGATTTTCTTAAAAATACCACTTTGTGACGAAACAAGCTGTAAAAGAAGTTGGCTGTGGTGAACAGTTTATTACATCATGTACTTTGCTTCAAAATATAAACTAGTTGCAAATATACTAATGAAAAATAAACGTTCATTTCGGTGTCTAGTTGCTATGCCACCTGAAGGAAGCTTGGGGGCTGGGAGACTGCTAGGTCGCTCAAGCTTATACAAGAAGTCAATATGCAGAGGTCGGACTTGAAGTAAGGACGTTTCCGTCGGTACATTTACGCGCACAATTTATGGAGAGCTCACTTGACCAGTTTCTCACTGGTACACCTGTGGGAGAACGTGAGACGAAGTCAACTGAACGGAATTGGAGTATTCGGGATATCGCAGTGCGGTTTCTTGAAGGAAAACTGTTCCAAAATTGATGAAAGCTCTTCAACAACCTCCGAGTAGTTTCACCCCGATTTAAGCTTCTAAGATTTTTGGCAGCCTTATGAATAGTGTTCCTTGGCAGGACTTTACTGCCGTAGCTGCCTTTGTTCAACCCACTGAAGATAAGATTTCCGAAGGCGAGTGTTTAAGCTGAGATTCGGCTGAGTTACTTGTTAGGAACCATATTAGCCTGAAATATATACGCTCAAACTCGACTCGGGAAACGCACCTAGCTGATGACCTCAGAGAGGGACTGACTGTTGGTTGCCGAAAGGTGTTCAGCGGCCTTATGTGTAGTGTTCCTGCAAGCAAATAGACAGAAGTTTGTATGATTGGTAGTTTAGTTGGCCACCGAGGAATCTTCAATCTTCATGCATGGCCTGTTTTAGATAAAAAACGACCAGGATCCACGGAGGCAAATTGCGCACTTTGTCACGGGAACAACACAAATACTTGAACGTCCAAATAACTGTTGAATTTCAAACATTTGTCACACCTCAACTAGCCTACGGTTTTTGCTTTTTGTGATTTTGGATTTATAGCATCTGACGAACGTTTTGCCCAGTCGAATTTTGCTCACGAGGTTACGTCGTTCACCCATTATTCTATCAAAACATAAAACAATTGGACTGAAAAAAGACATCACATGCAAGCGGATGCAACTCATATGGGGACTATTGTTGACGTCATATTGTACCCTTTTGTCGATTAGCAGTCTTTGAGTTCATGTGGTTTTCTGCCCACATAAGTTTTTTAGTCACTTCTACATTCCATTTGTAGCACGCATATTATGTCTGGGTCTATTCGATAATAATAGAAATATTTATCATTGAAAAGTAATACCGTCACGTTTACGTGCAATCGGTCAGTCAGTTGTAATTACTGCTCTAATGACTGCTCTAAAACAAAGGTTTGGGGCAAACGAAACCTAGATGTTACACCTCTTTTATGAAGACAAAACATGCCTGCAAACAGCAAGCCCGGATAGATGAAAGCTGGTGAAAACACGACACTTCACTGGTTGTTCTTACTCGGACCAGGGAACGCCAATGAGCTGTCGGCGAGATGTGTTGGGAAAAAACCCTGCTTTAACATGCCAGCCTTCTGGACAGTTATGTAACTTGTGTCCTTTGCTATAAGTGCTATGTCTTCGGGCTACTTGAAGGTCACAGAAGTTGACTAGGCATCTTCTTGGCCATTTGCTGTCAACGAAATGACTGTCTCTAAGACATCAGACGTAGAATTACAGTTCTGAAGTACTTGAATGGTGTTTGATTCGAATTAGAGTTAAGTACCTAGGCTTAAGGGATCTTATCAGTTTGGTTATTATATATATATACCTAATATCATAATAAATCGTTCAGCCGTAGCACCTTCTCTGTGCCAGGCTGCCGTGCCACCAGAAAGAAGTAAGAGGGCCGGGATAATACCAGGTTTCCCAAGCCTGGACAAGGGAAGTCAAGATGCAGAGGTCGGGTTCGAACTACGGACTTTCCGGTCAGTAAATTCGCCCTCTGACCACTGAGCCACCTCACCCCCATATATACTGTATATATATGTACACATGGTTACATATATTGTATATACGTCTAACTGATATCCTTTTCCCAACGTCACATTGAACGAAACCGATGGACATCTGCGCACGATGACTACTACCACATACCGCTTGCTCTCATGCACTTGTGCGTCAAACCAAACTCTTTGTCCCTAGTTAAGACCGGCGGATGAACAGCTGAGGAGCAGCTCTCCCAGTATGTCCAATCAATGAACCATAGTTATCAGTTTAAATGGATTGACTGAACAGTTGAGCTTACAGTTCATGCAAACGAGCATCAGGTGGCTTGCATCACCCAGGAGAGGCACTCTAGAACACATAAGGCTAGCGAGTGCTAGCCATCGTTCTGCAAGCTCTGAAGATCATCACAAGGAGCCACCTATGACACTGTTGTAGGATTAGAGCTTCCGCCCATCGGACGAGTTTATTTAGGGCTTTGATGAAATAGATGGGAATGGCCTAGCAGTTGAACCCGTTATTGTCCGCTTCGAATAACCGGGACCCGCATTGACAAAAAGCTGAAACTTGAATGTTCCCACATGTTAACCGTCTACAGGACGCTGATCGCTAAAATATGCTTCTGGAACCATCACGAGATTTGCACATAAAAGTGCTCAGTGAGCCAAGGTATTTTGGCGAGGCCTTAAACATAGGACAATGGACACAAAACGTCAATTCTAGCACCGTGGAAGGCTCAGACATCTGATAAACTGGAAGAGACCAAGGGACCTGGTAAAAGTTTTTGTCCGCTGACCTTTTGCTGACGAATCGCTGTGTCCGCTGATGACCAACCGACTCAGCGCGGTCAGCAAGAATGTGGTCAAATTCGCTTTAGCTCTGGCTTGTACAGTCTCCAAGTCCAATGGCTCAAATATACCATTGCGTCTTGGAGGTTTCAGCTCTCTGGCTCAAAGTGCTCGGTCTATGGGTTGATGGAGTCCACTGCGTATCGCTTCTAGCCATGCCATCTTTTTCTGTGCCTTTCCTTCCTAGTTCACGAAACCGAATTATCAGCTTTGAGAATTTCGACTAAAGTATCAAAGCCTTTGCCCGTCAGGTTTCCTTTTCTCTGCGTTCACTTGACCATATAGTGGCTGCACCGAAATCCTATTCGAATGGCTGAATGTGATCAAATTCCACATTCCATCACGACGCATCCGTTAGGATTCTTCTGTGTCTGTCAATTTAAGTCTAGTAAACAACAAGTATCAGTCTCAGCCTATACATGTGAAGGCTATAAGGGGTTACTCCAGCCGTGTTTCAGTGCTATATGTTGCATTTTAAACGTGCAGCCTGATGTCTGTTGGTAGGTTACGGTCCCTCTACACTCGTTTCTTGAGTTTTTCAAAAGTCACGCCAGCTTCGGCAATATGGTTTGACGGTCAAGACAGCGGATGTGCTTCCGAGACTGCAGAAGTCGCTCCAGTAGTCAACAAATTTTGTTTCACTTTTGATGCAAGTAGGAGCGTAAGTAACTTCATTTGGCACAGGCAGAGGCAGAACCAAAGTCGAGCTGATTCTCAAACCAGACTGCGGGCTAGCAGTCAAAAGATACCCAACTAAGGAGTTACAGTAAATGATGCGCGTGTGTAAGTCATACAGGATTTCCTTTGATGTGGATCATCACTACTGAACGGTTATCTGTCAAGTCAATACTTGAAATGCAGGCCAGTGTCTACAAAGGCCACGTTCACGATAACTGTTAGAGGAAGATCGGAAAGAGCGGAGTCAAAACCCACCATTATTTCACACCATAAGATTTTTGGGATCTTTTCCAGATAAGCCCCGCCACTAATGCATGTACGAAAAGTTAAGCTTGCCACTTTTCACCAGCTCCAATTTAAAGTACGCACACAACCTTGACCTATTTTTGATGAAAACAATTCCTTATCCGTATCTGCGCTCATTTTGTTCAAAAATCTTCTGCGTTCGGACGTAAAACCTTAAATGAACTTTCTGACACTTTCAACTCTTGTTCATGATAAAGCGACGGCAATACGTTTTTTGCAACGCCACGGAGTGATTCATCAGCGGCGTTTATGCAACAATGGCCACCAAATGATACTATCAACCGTTTCGGGCAGGTGGAGGTGTAATGCCCAACAGTGTCGGCAAGAAATCTGTCTTCGAAAGGGAACTTGGCTGGAGCGGTCTAGGATGGAGTTTAAAACAGTAATTCCATTCATTTATTGCTGGTCCAAAAATTTGGCGGAAATCAAACTCTGCTCAGAGAAATTATTTATTAGCCACACGACCGTTGTTGACTGGAAGCACTTTTTCCGCGAAGTTTGCTCCTGGCGGCTTTTGCAGACTCCAACTGTTAATCATACCGAGACCTCCAACGACCAGAGCTCACACAAAAACCATCAAACCTCTGACACGTCTATAAGATGCAGAATAAACGCCAATGCGGCGCACACCGATCTTTAGTAGACAGCTACTTGTGTGAGTTCGTTTGGAGGCAAAGGTACCGAGGAACGGACCTTTTCATGCAAATTATCAATAAAAACTGAAAGTACGAATTTCATATACTCCTTTTTTAATATTTTGTGGGTGGCCAGGATTACTTTATTGGCGGGGCTTATCTGGAAAAGATCCAATTTTTGATGTCACCCAAAGTCGATCAGCTTGTTTGCGACTTTAATCTAAATCCCTCGTGTAGGATTTAGATGAGTTTGACGAGGTTCACGCTGATATGTAGAAAGAATTGTGTGCAGTACTTTAGGGTTATAGGGGTCAAAGGCCTTCGTGAAGTCTTCGGTCGCCCTCTGGACTGCACTTTTCAGCGAGTGGGCGTATGTGTATGTCAGTGATAGCTGTCAGACCAGTCAATCAACACGCGCCCACGGAGCTGGGCGCTTGGATTCGGTTCCCATTGGCTAGAGCGACCGACCAGTTGGACGGGAAGCATCTAGCAGGGGAGATTATCAGTCTTGAGTTGGAGGAGAAGCACTACGGCTCACCAGCGTGGGATCTGAGGAAGAAAGCGGATGAAATAACTGAAGAATTTGCCGCCCTGTATACCCTCAGACGCTTTTAAAGAACTAGCCGTTACAACCCTAGTACGAATAATCCTGAGGAANTTATCAGCTATAAACCATGTGCCAAGGGTGCGTTGGTTCCAGCTGGTACAGTTTTGGTCACCGGATGCTTGGAATTCAAAGCCAAGCATCGGATACGATAACATGATCAGTTATTTCGAGAAACTGGGGGCTACGTATTGAACGCGGTACCTTGGGTGCACGAGCCTCACTAAGTGAGTGATTGAGTACGTCTGTCAGTGTCACTAATCACTGGTGAGTTGAGTGGTGGGGTCCCCATCCAGTAGGATTACTGGCTAGTATTTTCCTATAATGTTTTCTGGTCATAAACTATCCACCTTTTGGTAGCTTCTACTGAACACAGAACTGGGCAAATGGAGCTCCAAGAGGCATACAACTGCATGCCCTAGCCAGCGTAAACCTCAGAGCCTGAGTATTCCATCAATTGTGAGAAAGATTCTTTTTCCTAAAACCATCTGGCACACTTCAGCATTGATAGTTCCATGTTTCTAACAGAACCGTCTTCAGTGATTTGGAGACACGGGCTGCCAAACACTGATAACTTTTTGTTAGTCCTGTGAGTGTACAGACCATGTTTCTGACCCCTGTGTGAACCACACCGCGCAGGCGGTACAAAATAGCAAATAAACGTTTTTTACTTTCCACGGCACGGTACAAAAATTGTAGTTTCAGGCGCAAATTAGCGGAACAATGAAGAGCCCCCAACTTGCCTGTTTGAACGTTGAATCTGGTCTTTACCATGAGATGGTTAAACAGACAAATCTGAACTTTGTGTAAGTGGGACATTTCGCGGCATCATTCTAGTGAACCAATGAAGAAACTGGTGCATGTAAGTTAGAAATAACCATTCTCAGAAGGATGCATCTGGATGGCTTTGCGTGGGACACGTGATATGCTTTATTTGAGCATATTAGAGAGATTTTTGCGCGTTGTTTTGCGGATAGAATAATGGGTTCGCGTTTACTTGAGAGCCGTCACTGCTCTACCTATTTTCTGGACGTTATTCGGTTCGTCAAATGCATAAGTAAGATTTTCTTAAAAATACCACTTTGTGACGAAACAAGCTGTAAAAGAAGTTGGCTGTGGTGAACAGTTTATTCCATCATGTACTTTGCTTCAAAATATAAACTAAGTGCAAATATACTAATGAAAAATAAACGTTCATTTCGGTGTCTAGTTGCTATGCCACCGGAAGGAAGCTTGGGGGCTGGGAGACTGCTAGGTTGCTCAAGCTTATACAAGAAGTCAATATGCAGAGGTCGGACTTGAAGTAAGGACGTTTCCGTCGGTAAATTTACACGCAGAATTTATGGAGAGCTCACTTGACCAGTTTCTCACTGGTACACCTGTGGGAGAACGTGAGACGAAGTCAACTGAACGGAATTGGAGTATTCGGGATATCGCAGTGCGGTTTCTGGAAGGAAAACTGTTCCAAAATTGATGAAGGCTCTTTAACAACCTCCGAGTAGTTTCGCCCCGATTTAAGCTTCTAAGATTTTTGGCAGCCTTATGAATAGTGTTCCTTGGCAGGACTTTACTGCCGTAGCTGCCTTTGTTCAACCCACTCACGTGAAGATTTCCGAAGGCGAGTGTTTAAGCTGAGATTCGGCTGAGTTACTTGTTAGGAACCATATTAGCCTGAAATATATACGTTTGACTCAAACTCGGGAAACGCACCTAGCTGATGACCTCAGAGAGGGACTGACTGTTGGTTGCCGAAAGGTGTTCAGCGGCCTTATGTGTAGTGTTCCTGCAAGCAAATAGACAGAAGTTTGTATGATTGGTAGTTTAGTTGGCCACCGAGGAATCTTCAATCTTCATGCATGGCCTGTTTTAGATAAAAAACGACCAGGATCCACGGAGGCAAATTGCGCACTTTGTCACGGGAACAACACAAATACTTGAACGTCCAAATAACTGTTGAATTTCAAACATTTGTCACATCTCAACTAGCCTACGGTTTTTGCTTTTTGTGATTTTGGATTTATAGCATCTGACGAACGTTTTGCCCAGTCGAATTTTGCTCACGAGGTTACGTCGTTCACCCATTATTCTATCAAAACATAAAACAATTGGACTGAAAAAAGACATCACATGCAAGCGGATGCAACTCGTATGGGGACTATTGTTGACGTCATATTGTACCCTTTTGTCGATTAGCAGTCATTGAGTTCATGTGGTTTTCTGCCCACATAAGTTTTTTAGTCACTTCTACATTCCATTTGTAGCACACATATTATGTCTGGGTCTATTCGATAATAATAGAAATATTTATCATTGAAAAGTAATACCGTCACGTTTACGTGCAATCGGTCAGTCAGTCGTATTTACTGCTCTAATGACTGCTCTAAAACAAAGGTTTGGGGCAAACGAAACCTAGATGTTACACCTCTTTTATGAAGACAAAACATGCCTGCAAACAGCAAGCCCGGATAGATGAAAGCTGGTGAAAACACGACACTTCACTGGTTGTTCTTACTCGGACCAGGGAACGCCAATGAGCTGTCGGCGAGATGTGTTGGGAAAAAACCCTGCTTTAACATGCCAGCCTTCTGGACAGTTATGTAACTTGTGTCCTTTGCTATAAGTGCTATGTCTTCGGGCTACTTGAAGGTCACAGAAGTTGACTAGGCATCTTCTTGGCCATTTGCTGTCAACGAAATGACTGTCTCTAAGACATCAGACGTAGAATTACAGTTCTGAAGTACTTGAATGGTGTTTGATTCGAATTAGAGTTAAGTACCTAGGCTTAAGGGATCTTATCAGTTTGGTTATTATATATATATACCTAATATCATAATAAATCGTTCAGCCGTAGCACCTTCTCTGTGCCAGGCTGCCGTGCCACCAGAAAGAAGTAAGAGGGCCGGGATAATACCAGGTTTCCCAAGCCTGGACAAGGGAAGTCAAGATGCAGAGGTCGGGTTCGAACTACGGACTTTCCGGTCAGTAAATTCGCCCTCTGACCACTGAGCCACCTCACCCCCATATATAGGAAGAGAATTAATATTAATTTTGAATAGCCTAATGTCTTGGGAAGCGTCCAAATAACTGCTTAACCTAAATACCAACGTCACATTGAACGAAACCGATGGACATCTGCGCACGATGACTACTACCACATACCGCTTGCTCTCATGCACTTGTGCGTCAAACCAAACTCTTTGTCCCTAGTTAAGACCGGCGGATGAACAGCTGAGGAGCAGCTCTCCCAGTATGTCCAATCAATGAACCATAGTTATCAGTTTAAATGGATTGACTGAACAGTTGAGCTTACAGTTCATGCAAACGAGCATCAGGTGGCTTGCATCATCCAGGAGAGGCACTCTAGAACACATAAGGCTAGCGAGTGCTAGCCATCGTTCTGCAAG